GGAAAAAGGGGTGATGACCCCAGGATTCTTCGGTATTGGGTGGCTTCTTGGCGAAAGCTTGAGTTTCTGAAATTTTTCAAGTGGTTGTGTAAATTACGTGTTGTACGCAGGCATTCCTTGTGTGTCAGACCTGCTTGCGTTTTGGTGTTCTAAAATACTGTTTGGAGGTCCCTTGATTTTCGCCAGTAAATTTGTTGCAGTCTTTTCAAGGGATTAGAAACCCCTGCAAGGATGGAGCTTGCCCTGCCTACTAGGGTGATGTCCTTATGGTCGTGGTTTGGAGGTAGATACTTGGAATGATTTTTTGGAAAGAGTTGGAAAAAGTTTGGCAATGGAGTTGGGGGGAAGGACTAGTATCTCTTCCGGCAGTGTCTCTCGGGGTGTTGAAGATTTTTAGTGCTCGCCCTGCAGTCTCTGATAAAAGACTGAGACGGCGAGCACTAAACATTTTCAACAACCCAGAGAAGACACTGCCGAGAAGAGTACATAGTCCTTCCCACCACTCCATTGCCAAAATTTTTCCCAAATTTTTGCCAAAAACATCATTCAAGTATCTCCCTCCACAACCACGCCCATCAAGGACATCACCAGTAGTAGGCAAGACAAGCCTCCATCCTCTGCAGGGGTATCATAACCCCTTGTAATGACTGCAACGTTTACGGGGGCAAACATCAAGGGCCCCCAAACCGTATTTCAACACCAATACGCAAGGGGTCTGACGACACAAGGAATGCCTGCTCAACACCTTTTAATTCACACAACCCACTTGAAAAACTACAGAAACTCAAGTTATCGCCACAGAAGACAACACCCAATCCCAAAGAACCCCTGGAATCATCCTTATTTCTATATCCGACAAAATTTAAACCGAATAGTGGCTTCTATAACATAGCTGAAACACTTTCCAAGAACTTCTTATCGCTATCCCACATAAGAAAAACTGTAGAAGGTCTCTCACAAACTTGTCCAGTCTCCTTTCCAAGCTACCCAAGTTTTAGACTCTACAACCCAACTCGGTAATCATCAGATGCAGCATTCTTCACCTAAACCTCAGCCGGACTATAAATACTCGCGTTCCTTCCACCCCAGGTAGTTCTGTTTGTGACTTGAAAAAAGCCACTGTTGTGGGCGGAAACGTATGTCAATAAAGGATCACATTATACTGCATTTGTGTTTATATTGCCAACCTCTGTCTATGATGAGGACCAGTAGACGATGAAATCATGTGACTCCTGTGTTGTTGGGTTGTGCGGCTTAACCCAACAACACAGGAGTCACATGATTTCATCGTCTACTGGTCCTCATCATAGACAGAGGTTGTTTTGATAAGGACCTCCCTCGCCATGGGCCAGTAGGCCTTCTACAGTGTTCCTTTCCATTCTTATGTTCTTATGACATTCTCAGGTCACGTGCGTCACTCTCACTCTCCGCCTATTTATATATGTCTTTCTCCCTTTCTGTATGTGGAAAAAGACACTTATGTACAGGTTAAGACACATATGCAACAGTTAGGTATCTTTATTTTGAAACGTTTCGCCTACACAGTGGCTTCTTCAGTCGAGTACAGAAAAGTTGATAGAAGCAGAAGATACTTGAAGACGATGTAATCAGTCCATCACCCTTAAAGTTTTGAGGTGGTCAGTCCTCAGTCTGGAGAAGAGCATTGTTCCGTTGTCTGAAACATATGAAGTTGAAAGTGACAGAATCG